CAAAATGGTAACCGATACGTACCTGTCATATCTAGGGATCTATCCTCGTTTTGGGATATGTTTCTCTTCGATCACACTCCAAGCGGAGACGTTTCTAAGGCCGAACTCCAGATCGCAACAGAAATTGAAAAGTGGATTCTTCGATTGGCTAGCGCTCCAGCGCCAGTTCCTGGCTACACGTACATACAGGTCAGAAAATCTAGTATTTACTATTATAATTTACCATACAACGACCGTCATCAATAAAAACTTTTTCAGCGAAAAACAGACAGTAAATCACAGTATATTTGCTTTATTTGCCACGAATCGTCTAATGTGGTTTAGCCCAGATATCTGCTATTAGAGCAATAAGTTGAAAAGTCGCTTTCCATCTTGATGGCATTTCTGTTATGAAAATGCGGATGTTATAAAGCAACTACTTGCTAGATTCCATTTAACATTGTGTTCCTGCCTTGTATTATCAAGGGTTTGTGCAACTCACATTTATTTTGCAACCAATCGAACCTCTCGTTTGTTGTAGTCATCTAAGTACCAAACTCTTCGTCTGGTGTTTCAAAATTTTTTCTACCGAGATGACTTTTGGAAATGTGTAACTCACCTGGCGAGGTGGCTTGCGCTTCGGGACACGATATTAAAGCAGACACATGAAAGGAATTTGGCCGCTTGGTTCGCCTCGCCACTCGGTGCAGAAGTCGTTAAAAGTAACTAGTTGTCTCGACTAATTATTCCTTCATTGGTAGTTAAGACTTCATAGTAATGTATTTTGAGCAGTAAAACTCAATAAAAGCTGGAATTTATGAACAAACTATCAGACAACAGTTAAGAGCTTCTAGTTGCTAGAAATTAACAGAAAACATGGATTCACATGATATTCATCTCTTTCAAGTCAGTTACACATGCATGCATTCAATTTTCATTAAAAGGAAGAATATGAAACTCAGTAGCCTCCTAGGGGCATATGCCTCACGGAGAATTTGAAAGTGATGTAATGTACGAAACGTTTTCATACATTTAAAAGGCTGCTGTTGTGTAAACGAAAGATGCTGATCAGAAAGCTAGGAGAGTTTGTCACCAGGTAAACTGCGTTTTTTTCCTTTAGCAACGTTTCATCTCCTCTTCGAACTGATCTTCAAATGCGACATTTAAATAGTCTACTATGTATAGATCAGGTACTCAGGTTATTGTTTGGACTGTCGGTAAACTAACAATAGTTCATCTGGCAGAGCCATAGGCTGAGGATACCTCTACATCACTTGATATACGGACTTCAGTATATTAACTGCGGTGCTTAAGAATGCAGGCGAAATCTTTCTCCTTTAACGTTTATTGTGGATGACCCGAATCCACCTAGTTTTATCTATGTAAAAAGCAGCCAATTCATGGGTGTGTAACCGAGCAACCGTCTGCTTACTTACTACACTTACTTCAGTCAAAAGTATTTCATTTTCTCCTACTCTTTACACTTGCAGCTTTCTCTTCTACCGGAGCAGATCGAAAACCCGCTAATCTTTGCTCTTCCAGACAAAAGTCGTCTTGCACTGCTTGACTTCCCCTTCAATCTTCCATTTGAACTGTTGGGCGTCGAAAAGTGTCTACAGGTCATCCTCGCAATAATCCTAGAACAGAAGGTGCTTTTTTCTGTCTTTACACATTTCTTGCCCATTTTGTGACTTTTAGGCTTAAATCGTTTTTCTGGGTTTACTCTAAGGTATTGGTCAAATCGAGGGATTACAACGCCCTGACCATGTCTGTCCTTGCCTTGGTTGCAATGCTCTACCCTTTGCAGTACATGTTTCCGGTCATCCCGCTTCTGCCTACGTCACTTCCCGGCGCCGAACAGGTTTGTTAAATTCTTTACTGCACATGCTTTACATTAAAATACGCACTACATACAGTTGCGCACTATTTAAGCGTACGCAGTAATTATGATCCTTATTTCGGATCTTCCGTCCGTCCTTGCTATTATCAAAAGGTGAACATTTTATTCGGATTTTGCTGAA